TGGTTTTAGTGGGTAAAAATCTCACACTGTTGAGGAGTGCGGGCTCCTCTTCGTCTTTTGAAGATTTCTACAGTTCCCCTCGTTAAAAAAAAGATAGATAGATAGAGGCAGTTTCAAAAGGCTATGAAGTTTCCTTACACCAGGTTTGGAAGTAGTAATTACAGTAATGTTAGGCGTTGGCTTTCTTGCCTTAATGTTTTTCTTATCTTCAAAGTTTCGCGAAATAAAACTCATTGTCCTGTATGATGATGGTATGTAAGATAAGTAATATGTGATACTGTATTATGTTATAACCAATACATTCTGATACTTTTGTTTATGTAATGACAGATGAAGTCATAAGTGTCTGTAAACACCTGTAATTAAAAATGTCGCTAATAACCTTAGTCGTTGATGCGACAAAAAATAAACAGAGAAAAAAAGAAAAAAAACTCATCAATAAGTCACAAATCACGCACGTGGGTCTGTCTAAGGCTATGCCAACAATAGAAAGATTTACATCATGACATCTCTATTATCCGGGATTTGATTGACAATTCAATTATCCGGGATGTTTCATAATGAGTAGAGGTAGAAATTCTGGAGCTTAAGAAATCGTGGGCGCATTATACTTTTCCTCCATACTAAGTCACATACGTTCGTGCTGGTCGTGCTGAAACAAGCGGAAGCAATCTTACTGACTGCCTACCCTACGGTAAAAAAAAACATTCACAATGAGAACGTAAACATATGTATAACGAACGCATAGACGTAAACATTAACATAGGTGATAGACTGAAGTATTCACAATGCCTTACACAATAAATTAGATTTATGTTATAAATCTAAATCTTACCCTCGCGAACGGATGCTTGGCAAGCGCGAGCATTTGAAAGTGCTAGAGAAAAAGGACACGATTCGCTTTCGATACATTAGATTTGTTATAAATAAAGTAAGATTTATATTTTTTGTCTAAGTTACAGAGTACGCACTGTGTACCTTGCACACATGAAGGACACGTCATTGGAACTACATCTTTATATGACGAAATTATACTAGTTACCGTGAACACACAAGCTGTTGATAAATTTTCCTCTTCATTAATGGCAGTCCCGACTTCATTCCTTCTTTATAGTGAACATTTGACTTCAAGAACACTTCATCTATTAAAGAGTACAATAGTCTTATCCTTTTCATTCAACAAACTAAATTTCTTTGCTATGTACTGTAGCGCATTATCTGGATTTTTCTTCACTTTGGTGTTGAATTTTTTCGAAAGCAATTTCAAAGTAGAAGCGCACGACTTCAAGTAATCTGAACCTCCAAACGTTTTTACAAGATGTTACAAGTACTTATGTATCTTCTCTGTATCCAAGTTGCTCTGCTACAAATATGTCCTGTTCTGGATAAAAACAGTTCTCAATTATTTCTACACACGATATTCATAATTGCTTACCATTTTGACAGCACTGTTAAAAATCTGTGTGTATATTTTAGTAGGTAATAAAAATTTAATGAGAGGAGAAATAATAAAAGAGAACTAAGTTCCCCAATCAATATAATATTTTGGCTTGCTCTATACTGTAGTGGTGGTGGCTTCTCGAATTCACACCAAAATTATAAATTTGTACTGCAGGAGCATAAACTCGGCATTTTCATGATTTCATCGAGAAAATTAAACATTGAAGACTTGGCAGTCAACATTACAAATTGTGTATTCGCTTACAAATTTTGACTCGCTCCAGGGGGATGTAATATTGTAAGAACGTTAATTATTAATAAAATTTTAATTCTCAGGTATATGATCCATTACTGTAAATACAACTATTATTGACACTACAGTTTCATTTATAGAGGAAAAGTTTCAATTGCTTAACGAGCAAAGTGATGTGTTCAATTTTGTACATGGCTTCAACAAACTAGCAGAAATTAGTAAATCTGACGAATTAAAAAATTGTATGGATCTATAATTTACACTGACCAATGAAACTGACACAGGTAGTCCAAAACATATAAAAGCAGAAGGACTTGCAAATGAACTAAAGTTAATCAAAAACTTGCTCAAATCAAAATCATTACCAATATTGAAGTATTGGAATTCATGTATCAAAATAAACCAACTAACCCCAATATTACAAATTTCATTAACTTTACCATAGCCACCGAAAAAGATCATTTTCAAAATTAAAAATTACTAGTCTAGAAACTTTCTATGATCAACGAGAAATATTAACAGATCAGACAATGATATCAATTGAAAGTGAAATCTGCAAGAATATTTATTTAGAGTATCAAAAAATAATTTGCAAATTTGAATGTTCAAAAAGTGCCTCATTTTATATTATTCAAAGATATTATTTATTATTTAATAAATCTATACTACCTCTTCAGTAAATACTATTTTACACAACTAAACTTTCCTATTAAAAGTATGTAATTGAAGTATTCCTTTTGAAAGCAACAAAATGAACTTGCACCAGGGCAGCAAGCCAGTGCGCAACAACTCTCCTAATGGTCCTACAACAGTACGTAATTTCTCGCCTTTAGCAAGAATTATGTATTACTATTTATACCACATTTTCTCTGCAAATTAACACATCTCAGTAATAATTTTTTTGTACATCTCATTACAAATCATACAACATTTGGTGGAAAAACTAAATATTTTCAAATATCAACACAAATTTGACAATATAACTGTTTTTCATACAGGTAAATCATGACCCAACAATAAGTCATAATTCACAAAAATTAGCTCCCAAGTCATTGTTGTATTCCGATCTGATATTCCCTGAAGGCTAGCAAATTTTATTTCAAACTAGACAGTACCTGGTGCATTGCTGCTGCAGAAGAAATAATTGTGGATATATCGTTTTAAAGAGTTACCTTGTTTTTTTTTTTTTATTTAAGAATTACATATCTCTATCTCTCTCTATCTCCCCCTCCCTCTCTCTCTTTTCACTCTCCTCTCTCTCTCTTTCTTTTCCCTTGAGATGATTTTGTTTCACAAGCAAAATATTTGTTTTAATGCTTTTAATGAAGCGGGGAAGTTCATGTAACAGGATGTTTTTTGATGATGGTCATATCTCTGCAATTAATACATATTTGAAAGGCTTGAAGTAAAAAAATATATTTAAATACCCCCCTCTTTTTTTTAATGAATATGAGTTTTTAAATTTAACATTTATTAATTAGGTACCGAATCAATATGAACTGGGTAAATGATAAAACCGGCAGACGATTCTCAAATGAGAAAATACATTTCCTGAGTACCTGCCTTTCTGAGAATGTTATTCTCAGAAATCACAAGATCTCAGAGAGCACAATCACATCAAAATGCAAATGTATACAAAGCTCTCTTTAGAAGAGCAAGATGAAACTGACTTAAATATAAGGTACTTCCTAAGAACAGAAAATTGAAACATAAAGTACATGATATTATGTGTTCTTATTGCAAAATAAATGTACAGAAATAGATTATTTATTTTTGATTTGAACATACCCTCATTTTCAAGGTGGAAAAAAGTTGTGAATATCATTGAAAAATTCATGTTTTTGTAACCAGGTGTGCAGACTTTTATTCCATTAAGTGTCTATTTCTGGTTCAGCTTAAAAGAGCTGTTTCTGTACACCTAATACAAACTAACAAACGTTTGATACATTTACTAGCTTCCAAATATTCAGAGGCTAGAAAAAGTAAACTTGTTGTCTTTTATATTAGGTAAATCATATTTACGACAAGCATGCTTTTGCATCTTGTTCAGGAGATTAAATGGAAGGAATCTCTTCTCTAAAAATAGGGCAATGAGCATTTCAGTCACAGGAACAATGGTTTTAAGAAAAAAATTATATTAACTTCACACATTGCAACTTAACTGCATAATATCCGTATACAGCAGATCATCTGCATGAAAAGCCATGTATTGTTCTTTACATTTGGAATGTAAAGCTCATTACAATTATAATTGATCATGTGAAACAGAGGATTAGAATATCAGTTACAATAATTGTCAGAATGTTAAGCAACAGCAAGGTCACTTCAAAAGCCACAGAGAGAATAAATCTGCAATTCATGTATTGGACACCATAATTCCCAACCCAAATACACAGAGCATGCTTTATGTATATTTGACTCAAAATAGGGAATGTGCCACTTGAGAGGCAAGCACATTTCAATGTCAGGTATCTCCAATCATATTAATTTCAATTATCAGCTGCATAATCCATTAAGTGTACCCTTAATGAAAGCATAATGCAAATTAAGGACAAAGGCATTTTAATAAGATCAAAACATTAACACTGAACAATAGTCAACCAAATAGTACAGCCCCGCTGCTTTTACGATGCAGTGGAAGTATCCATGGGAGACGCCACTGCTTCAGTCACAGACTCTTGCTCCTCTACAGGCACCTCCAATACCCGAGGGCCATATAACAATACATACGCACAATGCCAGTCACCTGTAAAAAAGGAAACATAAATGTTCTCTTTATCAGGATCATTTTTTTACTACTCTTTCTTTTATGCTATCAAAATATTGATGTAAATACAGGTAAAACAAATGATCTATCAAATTTCTCTTGTGCTAGAAATCATAACAATTCAGTTTTTGGAAATATATGTTTTAATTAAAGAAATGAACCCTTTTTAAAATACAATAAAAGACTAATCATATTTAAATAAGTGTTGGAAAAAATTAAAAAGAATTCAGGAATTATCTGCACCGATCAAACACAGAAATCTGGATTATTATATATTAAACAATGTGACCTCTTTATTAACAACAACCAACTGGACTGTAAATTAAATATATATCTGTAATCAAATTTACTTCCTTCTTTCTCTTGTAAAATAGAATATAGAAGCGTTGGGGCCGAAGTCATTCCAACAATTTTTATTCTAAAAGAAATATTATTGCACAAGTCAATTTTATTTGTCACATCAAAGATATGTGTTCACAACAACAGATGTCTCTGCGAGTTCTGTATTAGCAAAGAGCAATGTAAAATCAGTTGTCTGACTGCTGCTGTGCAAGATTAATGTAAACCGATTCGAGCAGCACTCATACACAAAGATACACCGTTTTCCATGGGAGAAATGTCCGGAATATACAGAGAATTGGTGGAAGCTCTTGGGAATAATGCCCTTCCATTCCAGACAATTGTGAGATAAGCAGGACAGTTACTGTGAACCAGCAACCAAATGTATGATCAACCATAGCAACCAAATGTGTGATCAACAAGACACACAACAATCTGTTAGTTGGTGGACCAATGCAGCACATGCTGTAATTGAGCATCTGTCTAATCAGGCCTTTAAAACAAGTTTGTAATGCTTTGGATTGTAGTGAACTTGTATATGCTAAAATACCATGGAACATGAAACCAGTACTGTCATTTCAAATACCTTAATAAATACAAGAAACACAATTTTGATATGTCATTAAATGTGCTTAGATTTAGTTCATACCTTGTCCTTTCATACGTATATTTCATATTTTCTACTCATGCTCATATTTTTACAAAAAAAAAAAAAAAAGAAGTTACCATGACTTATGCCCCAACCTTCATAATACATCTCTGTTGACATTCTATCTTTTAATCCCATACAACATTTGACAAATATATTTTACAGCAACTCTGTACTGCAAACAATGAAAATTTTGTAACTAGCAGTAAGTTTGTTGTAATTTATATGTAAATAGTAAATTTGAAACCTTCATTAAATAATTCTCATGATCTCACAGAGAAAGCTGTGGGTTTCCTGGAATTACCCCCTCGTATCCACAGTCCCAGAACCACTGAACAACACTACAAATAAATGTGCCTATTAACTAGCAGAAAAAGTACTTAAGAATACCTACCTCCACCTGAGAGTTTCAATACATCTTCAGAAGTCACTGGTGACACCGTATCATCATCACACTTAAGCCACACATCAGCCTTCTGTCGAACCCATGCCACATAATGTCCACTAGAGCTAGACCGTCCCCTATGTGTGAGTACAGCTTGCAATGTGTAATATCCCGAGTTATTCGATCCCAGATCTGAAGAACAAAAAATTAATAATTAGACAAATAAAAAAATTAATTTAATTATTTGAAAGTAACAACATAGTTTCACTGGAATATAAACCATATTTTCCCCCTAAACATTTGTTAACTTCAAATCTTGCAGTGAAGTGTCTTTCACAATTTAATTATGGAGCCAATTTTAAATAATATTAAGTATGGCAAGTTCAGATAAGTACTAGAAGGCTGTGGGGGTTTTATCTTTCAATGAGAATAAGCCCTACACATATGCATTGCTGATTTAACATTCTTTTATTTAATTAAATTGATTGGCTGAGATGATGATTATGCCTGACAGAGAATTTCACAGACATCATTAACATCTAGTCTTGCTTATCTAAATACTGTACTTACAAATACATATATTCAGTCTTTTATCAGTTTAAATTTTGTCTTAATTTCACCTTAAATAAAATATTTTTCTGAAAGAGAATAAAGATGTGTGATCATGCTGAGTTACATTAGCAGTATGCAGCATTTTCATCCACATTGCAGCTATCCACAGAAATGGCTGCTTGAGAGTAGATACTCAACTTCCCTTAATATGGGCTTCACCATCAGGGGGTGAGGGGTCCTTCCAATATTTTTTGGTATATGAGGTATGACAAAGGGGATGCCCAGGTAATTACACCTTATCTATTCAGTAGATAAGGGATGTAGGTCCCACTAATGGGAGATACCTGCTTTGGGGGAATACCCGTTAGCCAATGGTAGGTTGGCGCCAAATCTTGGCATCCAACCAGGAGAAGATCACTGCCACCTCGAGGAAAACATGCACTACACTTATGGACTAATGACCTTAGCAGTTGACACATCCGGAATCAGTAATCAATCAATCAATAAAAAAATCGCCCTCAATGGTGATGGTGACATTCGTGCTTACCACTGAGGATAGCTGTAACATGATCATAAAGAAAAGTGGATGGAAAGTTCTTGTTCTCGATCTTTAAACAATATGTAACACTGTCAATTGACACAGAAGAGCAGCCAAGCTTTGTAGGAGAAGATTGACATTGTAGAGAAAATAAAATATTTTAAATGAGTTCTGGGGTTGATTTTTCATGACGATTCCCCACCAGCAAAACAAGTACAATCTTGACCCAACCACTTGTAGTTCAAGCTCTGGGGATGAGATTGAAGTGGTGGAATAATTGTCTTGTAGAATATTATTGACAATAATAAGTTGACAATTCAGAGAACTCATGCAGCGACATTGTGGTCAAGCTATATTCTTATTACTAGGGGGTGGATTTCAATGAAAAGTCATTTTTTCTTTTCATTTAGAACAATGACATTTAGTTAAGAAATTAATTTCATGATATTACAAAAGGAAATTGTTTTTGCATTTTTCATCAAGTTTAACTAATAAGAAATTTTTTACCTTTTGCAGTAACTTTTAATGCATTTTTTGGTGATTTCATTGATTTTAAAATAATTTTAATGGTACTAGCTTTAAATAATATTTTACAAGATGCAAAATATTCTCCACAGAATTCCTGAGAAGCCTATTCAACTTCGTTGCTCAGAAAGTTTAATGCCAGCAGTTGTAGGTAATCTAAGTTTCCTGTGTTACCTATTAGTGGCATTGTCAGTTCGGCCGATTTTGAAATACCTTAAGATAGATTTCCTGCTAAAAACAGTCCAAACCAAGAGAGTGCAAGCTGAGTTCACTTGAAGGATTCAAAGAAACCACAATTACATCAGTAACATATCCAACAGTTTCAGTACATCTGAAATGCTTTTGATCATATTTTTATGTCATCTTTCTTTGCGTTCAGATTATTTTTAAAACATTTCAAGAGCATTTTATAGATAATTTTTGATGATGTTTTAGGTCATCAAAATCTGCCCCCTACTTATTACTTTATGAAAATTCATGGGAAAACATTGCCAGATACAGGGAAACGGAGCTGTTACTGTCCTGCCTTTATCAACATCAAAGTAGTTGAAGTAGTTTTCCCCTCAGCAACTACATCAACTTGCAGAACATAAGAATTTCAGAGACTGAATATGTTTTTGTCTTGCATGAAGTTTCATTTCAATTACAATAAAATCAACTCCTGGTACTACTTGGTGTGAAGAATGATTGTTGAACCTATTTTCTGAAACATCAATTAACGACAAAATGAAAAGAAGCTTTGTGCAACAATCACAGGCCATGTCAGAAGAAGAGTGTCACTGATGATTTCGACAAGGTGACTGTACTTGTTGGACTAACAACATTGAGCTAATTTTTTTAACAAGTAATTTGAAAATTCTTGAGAACTTAATGATAACCCAATCTCACTTTGAACTGTTAAAAGTGAACACTTATCACACTGAAGAGCAGCAAACTTGTGACCTGCTCTAATTAAAGAATTTATAATGAATTCTTTGAATAGTCAAAACATAATTATAACAATTACATTATGGATTTATTCTCAAACCTGAATATATTTATGGACTGGGTACCTTGATTTCTTCGAAAAAGCCTAAGACACTAAACTGGATGTCATAATCATTAACAACCATCAAAGTAGTAAATTAAGTTCAACTGACTGTTGTAATATTTTAGAAGAACACACAATATGTCACACCAAAGGACAAAACTTAAATATTTTTTCAATTGATCTGTTATTCTTTATTTAGTCATTTGCATGATGCGAAATTGATCAGTTTTTAACCACCTGAGTACTCTACAATGAAGAAAAAAAGAAAGAAATTCTGCATTTATTATGTGAATTAAAACAAGATTACTAATATGTTGGAAAAATAAAAGCAGTAAAAATGAAAAAAGGGTCATTGAATATGTGCAAACATTGGTAATATTTTGAGTATAAGAAAACCAATCATTTGAATCATTTTTTCAGTTGAGATTCAAAACAAATAAACAAAAAAATGAAAAGTTGAGTGATTATCAGTGAGCCACAGAAGATTTGTAAATAGGTCAAAAGTCTTGAAAAACTTTCTTTTGATATATTTATTAAGTCTATAAATGTATTAGAATTTAAGTAAAATTAAGAAAGATAGAGAACAGTGACATTTCAAAAACACTACAGTAAAACTCAATGTAATCTTTTTCATTCCATTCATTCATATCCAGCTGGTAGTAGATCATAAATTCTAAGAAATCAAGTTACCTCTTAACCAGAAAAAATGAAATAGTATACCTTTGTGAAATATACTGTCACAATAAATTTTTATTTTAACATAAATACCAATAGCCGATTCGGTGGCCGAGATCGCTAAGGCAGTAGTGCCGTAGCGATTTCGTACCGAAAGATCGCGGGTTCGAGTCTCGCCTCGGGCATGGTTGTATTGTGTTCGTCCTTTCACCCCCTATCATCCATCATCCTCTATCTCTCATTATCACCTTTCTGAACAACATTCAGAATTGTAACTCGAGGATTTATCCTCACCTCAAAGTGAAAACCTTCGACAGTCGACCATGAACAGTAAAAGTGAGGTGGAACGACTCAAGTGGTCCAATGTGGCCAATCAAGTTAATAATAATAATAATAAATACCACTATAATACTCACCATCTTCAAACCAAAATGGCTCTTCTTTAACTTTCACCTTGTCCTTAGTATCTTCTTTCTTTGTATCTCCTTTCTGCAACTGAGCTTCTTCAACTTTTTTATCTTCTATTTCCTAAAATATAGAAAATACTTCTTTTTAATCCAATTTTTCAATGAAAAACAATGTATATCCTAGAATGACTTACCTTAAACTTTGATCTCATTGGGGTAAGTTTTTGTTGAAGTTCCGTTGAACATAATTCAAATGCATCAAATTCTAGAGGAAATTTAACGTCTTTTAAAATTTTAGCGTTGATAGATTCTTTTTCTTTGAAGTAGAAGCGCACAAACTGTACAGTTAAATATGCAGGCAACCTGCTTATTTTAGACTGTAACCAACAATTAAAGAGATAAATGGCGGGGAAAGTAACTAATGCACAGCAACAACAGTTAAAATAATACAAACTTACAGTCTTAGTGTAAACAGCATCTCTCTCCAGGGTTGGAGACAATTTGGTCAATTGCTCTTGCATTTTCTGTTTAAAAATATTAATGTTGTGTCGTTAATTAACATGTCAGAAACTAATTGTTGTATTATATCCCTTAAAATACTTACAGATCTTAAACCAGAATGCATGTATCTAACATCTTGAGATATGAAACAACTAAGTTGAAGAAAAGTTTCCTTGCTAAAAGTAGGTGGTTCTTCTTCTGATTCTGTACACTTCCATTCTACATCAAAAGTGCCCCCAAAATACTGGTCAACGATAGAGCTAGAAATTGAACAAAATTATAATATTTTCAGGCACTTTGAAACCTGTACTTCAACAGTATCAAAAAAACATACTTAAAAGTAGCTTTTGAACTTTCTGCTGGTTTTGCAGGTAATTTCTGTTGCAACATCCTGACTATCTCTGTCCAACATTCATTTGCATCTTGCTGCATAAATCCTCCATGCTCACTCTTCTCTGCAAATCTGGGAAAAGCTAAGTGCAAAACTTGTAGGAGGATAATGGGAGGAATAGTAGTACCCTTATCCATTGACTCGTACAAGTCTCTTAATGCAGCTGTGATGGACTGTGCTGGTACCATCGAACTTGCCACAGAAACACCTGAATAATTGGCAAAAGTATTTCCTTAGTATTGTTGTAATGTTTGTATTAACATTACAACTCTTTTTTCATTTATACCTCCTTGAAATCCTTTCAATGCATCTCGCAACTCAGGAACGGTCTTCAAACACTGAACAGTAGCATTCATATAACAAGTATTGCCTAAATTGGTAAGACCAGCAGGGAGCTCCAACTATAACAAAATCAAAATTCTTCTCATTAACATTATTCACTTAAAAGTAATGTTATACATCTTGGAGCACTTTACATTTTGCAAAATATTTTAGCCAGCAAGCAATAAAGAACCCTAATCTTGAAAAGTGAATGAAATGTCACAGACAAATTTCAAAATTCCACTCAACTTACAGCTGATGCTAATTCACTTTCATTCATATCTTCTACAAAAACAGGTTTCTCCATGGGCTCTGTAGGTACATCCTCCTCTTTGCTTCCCATCATCAATATAGTAACTCCCTAAAATATGTCATAAATAACATTCAATTGATAAAGTATATCTTTGGTTCTAATTTAAATGATGTGGGCTGCAATTAGAAATCTAATTTTTTATCAAAAACTTACATCTTTCAGCTTTATGTTTCCCCAATCACTATCTTTCAGAGTCATTCCTTTAAGCATAACCTTTTGTCTTTCTGGTTGCACACCAGTCAAAGCAAATAATTGAGCTTTGAAAACAAGTGGATCTTCATCTGTATTTACTTCTACATCAGGATAATTTTCTTTACCCCACTTTACCTTCACTGAAAAGCCAAAACAGGATTAAAATAAATAAAATAACATACTGCAAAGTGTTGCAAATGATGATCATTGAGATTTTGAGCAGTTATCAGGGAGGAAAAAATGTTTGATTTAAATAAGATATTCCACCAAAGAATGAATATCATTGATTGCACCTAGTTGCTCAAACTATTTCCTAATAGGAAACAGGTGGCCTGACATTCATTATTATTTAATATTTAGATTAAAAGGAAATTATTAATGATTTTTTTTCTGAAAAGATAGAACTGTCAAGCACTTTTATAGTAATGTAAGAGTGCAATTTAAAATTTAATTTTATGGGAACAGGATAATTTTATAGGTTAAGTTGTACCTTTAAAACAGGGCATTTTAGAAGGCTTTCTCGATAAGCACACTATTAAATTAAAATGTATTTAAATGGATTTAATGTATTGAAAACTACAACTCAAACCACTCTATACAAAATTAGTTTATCTCAGTCATCGGTGAGTCAACAAATCCACGCTCCACATCACTCCACGAAAACTGGAAGTCAGCAGCACTGTATCTTGGATGCTAATTCCTGCATGATCAGTTTTTGGAACTAGTGAGACCACTTACACTCTATATACTCTTTGTGTGTGACTACGTATATTCTTTGACATTGGTAATTGGAACATATTTTAATTTGGAAAATATCAATTGTGGATTTTTGACTACCGCTTAATTTATATTGCTTTATGCTCTATGCTCTATTGCTCTATGCTCTCCAATAAAACAATAAACAAGTAATATCAATGTTGAAAGTAAATTAAAATAATAACGGTGAATGAAGATAAATTATAAATTATAAAATGAGAAAGATAATGTTATTTGTTTAAATCTTTGCAGTAATTTCAAACTTAATATTTGAGAAGGATTTGCGGGAAACTGTTATTATTAGTTCCTTATTTCGTCAATAGATAGCAGGACGAGGCGTGAAAGTTGCGCTCCAAAGAATCGTTCGCATGTATACATTCGGCCGCCTCCGTGCCGCTCCGTAAGTAGGAACGGGTCACTCAGTAAAAGGGAGTGTCGGCACTATCCGCGTCCGCGTAGATGTTACTTTAGTTAGTGGAGGTTGTATGTGTGAGTGAGTGATTATGAATGCAGATTTCGTTTATGTGACTACCTGAATTATTTCTTATTAACAGTGGATTTGTTTGTTTTTTAAGAGAAAAGTTTATTCTTCATTATTTGGAATGCAGTATACTTCATCAGTATGTTCCAGTTTTTTATGAAGAAGTGATTTTCGAATGCTTTTGAGTGAACTGGGAACATGAAGACTAAAGGGATGTGATGGTTCATGAATGTGCTCGTGTCTCTTCTTTTATTACACATTGACCTAAATATCTGACGTTCATTCGGACGTCCCGACAAACACTGTAGGCACTTCTCAAATAATCGGTGTAGTTTCTCTTTGGTTCAGTTGAGAGTGAGAACTGACTGTGATGAAGTTGTTTCATCGTGAGTTTAGTTGTGAAGAATGTTAATGTGATGGATGACTTTTGATAATATTGCTGTGTTTTCCCCTTTGCTCCATCGTGTGAAAAATGCAAGAGCTGGTTTACTGTGAATAAGTGAAACTGCAAATGACTAGTGAAGCTTTATTGGTAGGGAGCTCGTTAACGCACACCTAGCGAAAGACTTTTGTCATAATGGGAAACTGTTTTAGTCGTCAGAGACCTGCAGCAAACAACGATGGGGTTGGCATTCCAACTCCGGACCCTACTCCCGTTCCAGAGAATCCTGTAACAATGCCACCTAGGGAACCTCAGGTTAGAAATGTAGGCCTACCTATGCCGCCGATTCCAGACGAAGGCTCAAGTAATACAAACGCTAAGATTTTCGTAGCGTTGTACGATTATGATGCAAGGACAGATGAGGATCTTAGTTTTAGAAAAGGTGAACATTTAGAAATTCTCAACGATACTCAAGGAGATTGGTGGCTCGCGAAAAGTAAAGCTACAAAGCAAGAAGGATATATACCTTCGAATTATGTGGCGAAGCTGAAATCCATTGAAGCTGAACCGTAAGTACCTATAATTCCTAATTGGTGTGTGAGTGTGTTTTATTTGTGCGAAATCGTTTTTAAAACTAGAAAAGGTTCTGCAAAGCTGTCAGAAAAATCTAGTCAGCGTTCTCGTACCCTCGAGAAACGGAACTCGTAGTCCTTTTGTTGTTGTTGTTGTTTTTTTGCCTTCGCCGGAGGGTGTGGTAGGCATTCCCGGGCTCTGCCGGCGTTCATTCTCCCGGTAAAAAGGGAAGAAGCTCGGCTGTTGGCAGGGTGTCTAACGGGGCAGCAGGCCCAGGCCCAGATTGTCTCCTCATGGCCAGGCGTATTGGCACCGTCTGTGGCGTAGGCGCATGCGTGGTGAGGCCCGGGGCTGAATCGAGCCGGTGGCACGTGCGCGGTGGGCGGTAGGGCAGACGTCGCGGCGCGCCGCGGCGCCGCCGCCGCGTCGAAGGCTCATGGGGGCGGCCCACGCCACGGAGGGGGGTGAATGCGCTACGGGCTAGAGCCAGAGCGCTCCCAATGAACGAAGAAACCAAATTAGTTGACATTTAAAATGTTTAATCCAAAGAAATTTTTTATACACGAAGAAACTTGTTTATAGTTAATTATTGAATCAATTTTGTAAAATTGAAATATTTTAAATTTTCATTTCACGGGGAAACTATTTACTTCTAATGCTTTAATGATAAAAAAATATCAATAACAATTAAATATTATAACAAAATTTATATCATAATATAACAGTGCTGAGGTAATAAAGCAGTAACATATTGAAGGTAACATTTTTTTACTCTTAATGAAAACAGTGCTAAGTTTAATTAAGATACATGGTAATTAAGACAGTTAAGTTTGCTGTGCTTGATTAATATCAATTAGTGTCACTGCCCTGACAGTTACTAATTCTACAAAAGGATTGTTTCACTCGATAATATTGAAATTCATGAGGTGACGTGATTACCGTGTAAAGGAGGAAACTGATCAAAACTGCTTTCCCCGACAACAAATCGAACCCTAATTTGTGGGTTGCGCCATTTTATTTGAAATATTTATCAATTTTTGTAAGTAGCATAGTGGAAGGCCTACCACCGAACGTGTCTCGGGGACGTCCAATACCAAAAATCTGGCCCTGACGGGAAAGGTTCGAATTGGCAATTTTGTCCAGAGGGGGCCATCCAGAACTCCTTGAAGGATTAATGATTGAAGAACATATTTTATTCCGGAACACAGAATGAATCATAAGAAGACTCTAGAGTGTTTTCGTGTGTAGTTTCCTTCATAAGACACTTGAAAGGGCGGAAGTTCTAAACGTACGTGGCACATATTGTGGGGTTAATCGTATTCCTGCCAAGGACTACAATAATCCCCCAGCAGGGAACATACCACCCCGCGGCAGGAGGGGGAGGTGATACCCTACGCGCATACACACTCACGCACGCACGCACGCACGCGTGCTTGTCCATTCGCACCCTGCTGCCAGGCCCTCGTCCGATGGCGTATCGACCCGCCTCCGCCCCGCCCCCGCGCGCGCCGTTCGCCTTCATTCATGGTGGGCGGCGCGGCTCGCTCCCTCGGCCGGGCTCGCTGGGTGCGGGGCGGCGCTGACCTTGAAGGCGCGGGCGGTGGTGGGAGGTGAGGAATGCGGGGCCCCTTGGCAGGAAGGGCTTCAGGACGCGGAGCACCAGCAGGCGAGCACACGGGCACCCGAACACCGCCCGACAGGTGCATGCGCCTATGAGGGAGGCGCCGGGGTGGAAATAGTAGAGCGGTGAACGCCCAAATAAGTCAAGGATCTAACCCTTTGTCGTGTGAGTTTCTGGTCCCTACCGTCAGCTATGCATGTAGTGTATTAGTCAAATGGTTGAATTTTGGGTCATGCTATTAGGTGCCTCCCGATGGCTGTCGATTTTTTTATGAAGTAACCATCTAATCTCCCTTAAGGCTAAAGGTCCAATTGCTTAAATCTCAAAAGCTTTCCTGTGTGTTTTACCCGCATATCCTTCACATTTTGCAACATATTAGAAGTATATTGTACTTTGGACCCTATCTTGGGTCCAGAATTCTGAATTCATGCAAAATGAAATTCACTCTCGTAATTACTGAAAAATAGAATGCGAATGTGTCAAATTTGTTTCGAAGTACTTGGTTTCATGTTTTGCTAATAATCCGTAGGAATATAAGTTGTATTCATGAATATGACAAGTTTTGGTTTGATATTTTAGTTACGTGTTCGTGCTGACGATAGTGTGAAACGTATGGTATGGTAAGATAGCTGGAATCGTAAAGTTTTTCTTTGCTTCTCGCCTTGAAGAGCTCTGAACATGGCATTCTTTCCCGAGATCGCTTTGAAATGACTTATGGGTTTTCATGATGGATCTGCGACTTTCCTTCCAGTACCCGTTTTCTTCGTTCGATAAAACTTGTATATTTTATCACATGCATTATTGTTTTGTTAATTCGTCTGAGTTACAGCGTCATAATCACATTTGATCTGTAAGGATACTAATAAGCTAATTGTGTAAACTAGATATCAGTATATTTTATGTGAATATTTCGACTATATAATATTTCGGCTGTCCCTTAAGATTTCTATTTAACTCTGTTTATTTGTTAAAATTAAATTTTCTTAATTATCTGTCCAATAGACTATACATTTCACACAAAAGCGAATGATGAATCATTTTAGAATTTCGAGCTTGTATCACAGATATGTTTATTATATAAGTACCTAGAAACGAGTGAATGATGTGTCATTCTTCAAAATAAAAAGATCGTCAGGTGGTGAGGGAAGATGTCTATTCCATCCACTCGTTGGCTTGGCTGAGAGCTGCATTGACGTTACTTCGATTCGTTGCAATTGATCGATCGAATGCAGTCGTCGTTTTGTCGTTTGGCGCCAGCAAGTGTTTGATATATTAATTAGCGAGTTCTAGATGTGCGAAGACCTTTGAGTGTAAATTATGAAGGTTGCTCAGTTGTCACGACGAATTTCCATTAATATGCTACCTACGATCCCGCAACATCCTAGAAAGACTCCAGAATCCCCGCACGTGGCTCTCGGATGAGACCAGCCGCTGGTCCGGTGTAGCTTCGTGTCGCAGATGGCAACACCCGAGCGAAACACTTCTGCTGTAGGTCGCCGGGCAGGGCGAAGAGTTAGCTGGGCTAGTGGGGCGCGCCGCGGCGGCAGCAGCGGCTGTGGCTCAGTTTGCTCCTGTGGGGGCCGCCGCCATCTGACCCAGATCGGGGGCGCAAAAAGAGGGAACCCGGGTCTCCACCGCCGCCGTCTCGTGCAAAGACTCGGAGCCGCGCCGCGCGGTGCACTACGGAAAGCTCAGTCAAACCTCGATCGCTTGCGTCGCACGGGAAGCTGAAAATGCCGCGGGTTACGGTTGTTTCGCCTGATAGATATAAAGGATTAAAATATTTACTAACATGTGCATAAGCAGATCTCGTTCGATGACAAAATAATATAAATTGTTTTATGTACATAGTGCCAATGTTACATTTGCATGCTTGATAGGAGCAGCGCACGAACATAGAGGCATAAGTAGGAGGCAACGCGCCTAACTCCGTGCAATACGTCTTTTTCTGTGCACTCTTTGAGTCAAAAAACTATACGGTAATGGAATGAGCTCCATTCAATACAACACAAAAATTGAATGTCATTTTTTCATCTGGATTACATCGAAAATTTTCCTTTTCGAGTTAGTTTTTTAGCTTTCGGAATCAAGGGAAATGGGAAAATCCAAGTCTCTTGCAGGTTTTCCACATCAGAAGTTTGAGCTATTGAAGTAGGACTATTATTCGCAACTGAAATCATTTTCAGTTGGAGGAAGAAGAGCTTCAAGTGTATAGATACCCACAAGAAGGCAAACGTTGCAAGTCATGAATATGCCCGGGCCTATGTTTTAGCAATTTTGACGAAATCGAAATCTAGCTTCCAGGAATCCTACAACTTTCTTAATGTTTCGTTTACGATGTATTTATCTGTTGAGGATATAAAGTTCACAAAATATGACATTGGGCTAAGGAAGAAACGTGAAGTTGCATCCCTCATTAGTGGAGGCAATGGACATGCAGGACTGCATGACTTTCACGTGTTGAAATGTCATGTAAATGATGGGTTGTGATAATTAGACAGGTTTAGCGCCCTCTGTTCAAATATTATAATAATTAAACCATGTACGTGTCTTCCTATGAGGCAACGGCCCCTTCTTGTTCTTAAGTAAGAGCAATTGCTCCCTCTGACGAACTTCGACGTCTCTCGCAAAGCTGACAACTGGGAACCCCGGGCACTTCGAACTAAATCCGAGCGTAGTGGAAAATTTTTGGAATGGCAGATTGAAGCATACTCCAGGAAAAGCAAACCTGAACACATAAGTTGTTGCTTCAAAAACTGGTTAAGGAAATGTGCATATGGCGAGCAGACATCCTTAACCTCTCCCAAAACAATTACCTATTCTTACGACTTACAATTACAATTCAACGACTTACAACTACCTATTCTTACGGCTGGCAAGCGTTCATTGTATTATTATGGTCGAATTAATATTTAATATGTATACTATAATCGGTTATAAAAAAACATTTACTCGGCATGGGAAGGAAGGTAGAGCAACATTTACCTCCCGAAACTCAACAGTCTCCCCAGCACTCGCTCTCGCCTCGAGTCGCTAGGAAACTGGACGAAAAGCACGATCCTCATGGGCGACTGCAAGCAGAAGCTGTTAATCTAACAGTACCATGCTAGTTATTATTTGAAAATAGAATTATAATCTTTTAATTTTCTTGACAATATAATTTTGAAATATTAAATAATGTAATTTGGTACACAAATGGCTATTGATTAAACGGGATTGCAGATATGTGTCGTTATGAAGATATTTGTTGTTTTCCTGAAATGTTTAAGGCAAACGATACAGTAAAGTTTCAACGAAAGAAGGTCTCTTTCCTGCTGTTTTCTCGGATTTAGGTTTGATGTGAAATTTAAAGCAGTGCACCACATTTTCAGAGCA